ACCCACAGGGCACAGACATCGGTGACCCGGGCGACGGAGACGGGCTGCACACGCCCCGCGGCTCGTCCGCTGTATTGGACCCGACACACGGCTCGCCCACTGACAGACCTGCACATAGAGAGAGCAATGGAACGCAACGAAGAGACAACAGACATACGACAGTCAAACTCATGACCATCAACCAATCACACTGACTGACCAGTCCGTCAGTTACCTTGCTGCGATTTGCTATCGTCGGCCGTAGACCCCGCTACGTCCCGCGTGGCGATGCTAAACGTGCTGCTGCTGCACAGAGGGTGGCTGATTGGGGTCTCCACCTCGCCCAAGTCGGCCAGCCACTCATCGCGCTCCTCACCCTCCCCCTCTCCCTCTCCCTCCCCCTCTACTGCCGGGCTTGGTGCTCCCGTGGCCTCTCGGCTGCTGCCGCCGTCGCTGGCGTGGTTGTAGGGGAGGCGTGTGGCGGCCGTGTTGCTGAGGTGCGGCAGGGGGAGGATGCTCGGCTCCTCCTCGCCCACGTCGGCGCACACCTCATCCGGCTCCTCAGCCACCGGCATCTCTACGGCCCTCTCCCGCACGGCAGTGTGCCGCGGTCGCCACCAAACGAAGCCCAGTCGTCTTTGCCACCGCTGGTGTGTGTGGTGGCGGTGGTCTTGTTTGTGGCACGGCTGGGCAGGGGAGGTCTGCCGGTGATCCATGCCGACGGGGTGGGTCACGGTCTTGGTGTGCTGTTGGTGTCGCTGTCGTGAAATGGCACGGCTGGCGAGGGGACGGCTGAACCTGATCCGTGCCGACGGGGTCTTGCTGTCGCTGTTGTGTTGCTGTGCTGTAGACAAAGGCGAAGGACGCTGACAGTATGTCGCTGCTGTTTCCTCTCTCACTCCTCAACGAGCCGTTTGTTGCGAGCGGAAGGGCGATGCGCAAGGAGGATTGAACGAATGCCAAATGAGAGGCGTTGTCTGAGAAATAAATAAGCAGTCTCAGAAGGTACGTCTCCCGTCGAGAAAGACGCGCTTCTCGCAGGGAAACCAACGGATAACGAGCCAGCTGGCCGGCTGCGATTCCTCTCGGCCGCCACAGCCTTCTGTAAAATGCCATGGATGAGGCGGAGAAGGCGTCGTGTCGAATCACTCACTCCCCAAACGCGGCGAGGCTTTGGACGTGCAACGGCCGGAAAGGTTATGGCTGCTGTGTGTGCAGTGTGTCCTTCTGTTGGCCGTCAGTGTGTGGTGCCGACAGCTCTCGCCATGCGACTGTTGGCAGCGACGGCATGGCCCTCATCCCAAATTAACACACACTACCGAGACGGCGTACGCACACCACAGACATCGACACGCATCTCTCTTGCCGTATGTGTGTGCAGGTACGTGGAAGGCCGTCATTGGCGATGTTCCTCAGGCGACTGACCGGCTGGCGTGTTGGCTTTGTTCTGGTTCAACAGTCGGTCGGTGTCGAGCTCAGATAGACAACTCTTCAGGGGCTGGTCTGTCTATCTGTATTGAGTGTCCTGTCGGTGTGTGAGTATGGACTGGAGCAGCGACGGACCTCTGCCGCACTCAGTGTATACATAGCACGGCAGGGCATTCATCGACAGCAGCGACGGGAACAGCCAGCACATGAATGAAGAAAAAGAAGGGCAGAGACTGCCAGGGAGGCAGGCAGGCAGGCAGCCTGAGACAGGCAGGAATTGTCCGCAGAGACATGCATATATACACAGCCAGAGGCTTGGAAGCGCCCACGGCAGAGAGCGGCTTGGCCTCAGTACATGTAAGGAAGCGACCGACTGTGTGTGTTGGTCCTCTGGCAAGGGAGGCGGGCAGTCCCAACCAACGCATACAGAGGGGAGGGAAACGGAGGGAATGAGTGAGTGGATTGCGCTGTTGTGCCATGAATCGGTTTTGTCGGTGAGACGAGACACACCCTGACGCACATGATTATTGGATTACGTGAGTGGTGCTTGTTCTCTCCAGCCCGACACACCAGCCACGTCGTGTTCCTTGTCTCTGCAATTGGTCCGTGCCCCTCTTGTGTCTCAAGACCAGTCATCCATCCCTCGTTCTGGCGGTGTCTATTCTCGTCTCTCCCTGTCTCTCCCCGTCCCTCCCTCCCTCCCACCTGAAGCCCTTGCACACGACAGACGCACCTTCGCCCCCACCACTCCTCGCAAGACTAGTACATCCAAGCTTACGCCGTCCGATCAGATGACCCAAAACCAGCAGCGCACACAGACGCTAAGGCACAGGGACGTTTACAGTATGTCAGATAGCTTCATCCCTTCAGCAGCCAGCTGCTGAACGAATAGAGTCACTGCGGCAAAATGCACAGGGGACTCATCCACAACAGCGCTTTGCTTATCGCCTTCTCTTGTACCGTGGTTAGATAATCCGTGGGTCCCGTCGAGCTCGCGGAACACTGAGACAGTCAATCGGCTGGGCAGTTCATGGCCAATTTGCATGAAATCTCGGCCACTATCACAGCTCATGCCGCTCTCTGAGTCGAGCTGTGATAGTGATGTCCGAAATTGTTGTTGCCACTGCCATTGCCGTCTTTGCTGATCCTCTTGTGGGTTCACGTGTGGGTTCCGGTTCCACTCTTCCCAGATGACGACAGCAACCTTGACGCCCGTGAGTCCAGGAGATGATAGCAGAGTCTGTTTTGAAGGATCATGTGAGGACACAGATGTCGATGGAGCTATAGGCCTACGTGGACTTCAGAGTAGAGGCTCTGATTGTACGGATCGACGACATAGATGATGCCAGCAGGCTTCTTCTCGGCAGCATGAGACATGCACTCTGCAGCCAAACACGCGAGATGTTTGCTAGGCAAATGAGATGTCAATCGCTACAGTACCCTCAAACGAGACCCCCTTCATTCGGAAGAGTTGGTTTTTCTTGGTGGGCACACCGGGATACAAAATAGAAGCCGGGAAGAACCAGTCGAGCTCATCCGATTTCTTGTTGAACACTCTGCCTGAAGGGTATTGGCCTGAAGGACACAGAGTTTCAACCCGGTCCTCGGACTGTCGCGATATCTTTAATGCTATGTATGGTATCTAAACATCAGGTCCTCACCTGATGCACGTTGGTGATCTGAAGGTGACTTTTCCCATTCCAACACGTGCTCCAACATCTTGAATGCGTCAAACCCGCCAGTCTGATGTCTGTACTGTTGAATCGGCTGTCCGCGAACCAGGTAGACCATCTTCAATGGCTGGTGGTCACCCCACGGGTCCTCTCCAAGGGTGGTGCCCAGCGGTTGGCCACCGCCAGACAGGTTTACCTGTCCCGTGACGCCAGCGAGGGCCTGCATGGCGTCGTTGAGCTGCTTGACTCTGGCCAGTGCAGCGTCTCGCTCGGCGGCGAAGTCATTGCTGGTCGTCTTGTCCTTCAGATTGCCGAGGGCGATGTTGAGCTTAATGAAGTTGTCCTCAAACTGCTGCAGGGCCCTCATTGAAGCGGGGCTGCCGCCAAACAACTCGTACTTCTTTGCGACGGGGCCCATCTTGTCGTTCAGGCGCTCAGCAACATCAAGCCACGGCTCTTGTTGGTTGTCTTGTGCGAACTTCATCGCTGCTTGGTACTCTTCCCCTAAAGCCTTCGACTTTTTTTCGAATTCCGCCAAGTCGAAAGCAGAGGTTCCGTCCACGGCTGCAACAAATGGCAGATGTACTACGTCTTCCATGCTGCAGGAGACTCACCGTATAGGCTGTCTCCTATCGACCGCTGCTCCTCGCTGAACTTCGTTTGGAGCTCTGTCCACAGACGCTGCTGCTCTGCGCTACCTGAAGTAAAAGACAACGCATCAATTGCACGATTGCAATATCGCATTATTGCAGTTCAGCGGGTACCTTTGACCTCTTGTGCAATGTCCTGCGCAATCTTCCAGAAGCCTTTTGCATTGGGGTCACCTGGCAGCCACAAACAACAGCGTGAGGTGCTCTCCCGTCCCTTCTCCATCGTGATACCGAAAGGCTTCCCGAGTTTGTAGACGAGGTAGTCATTGAACTGGTCAGGTGTGATGTCATGGAGCTCGACTTCCATGCGGAACGCCGACACAATCTTTTCAATGGGCCAGTTGATGTCCAGCCAGATGGCCTTCCACGCTTGTGCCTCCGTGTCGAACACCATCTCCATCCACTTCCCAACCACAACAAGTTCGTCCGCCCCCACGCGCTCTTTGATGTCCTTGACGATGTCCTTGTTCGTCTGTTGGAGCTCCTGGATGTGCTTCAAAATGGCCTCAAGGCCCGTATCCTCCTTGCCTGTCATCACGCGTTGCCTCTCCTCTTGGGGGTCCGCTGAGACGGAGAGGGGGCCCCCAGGCCCCCACAAGCTCGCGGCTCTCCCAGGCATTCCGTGACCCGCTCTCTCAAAGGCAAGCCAGATCTTCCTCACCTCCGTCGTCCGTTCAGCCTCTATCGATCGTCAGCCTCCATCGCCTTGACCAAGCTCCACCACGAGGTCTACAACCACGTGAAGATGGTCCTCAGAGTCTCTGAAGCCTTGACGGTCTTCCCCGACGACAGAACAGAATCATTCAAGGATTCTAGGGCGACCTTCTACAGGGCGGAAGACAGAGAGGTGAATATCCCGAACGATGGCGAGAAGCAACTCCCAAAGGCCCCGGAGGGCGACAACAACAGCCACGTACTTTCCAAAGATGTCGCAGGCCATCTCCTGACCGTCCTCGGCTACACCGACAAGAAGGACGCGGCGCTCATCAAGGAACTTGCCAAAAAAGTCATCAACTCAAAGGAGAACATCGTGCAGAAGCCCAGAAGTGAGAACCATCCAGGAGACACCAACAAAGACAACGCAATCATCGACGCAATCCATGGCGACGGCGTCATGTACATCAAGGATGGCGTGAGAGCTCGAGGGCAGGAGGTGCTGAACATGTTGAATCAGCACGTTGAAGAAAAGGCGCCACTGCTAACAGAAAAGGCGGCACAGGCACTCAGAGACGTGCGCGACGTATACGAGGTATTAGCGGACAATGTGAGAATACAGATGTGCCATTGCAAGTACAAGTATCCTCCCTGACTTCTTTGCAGGAGAAGTTTAAACAGAGAGGTCACTATGACAAGGAGACCGGCACTGTGGAAACCATTGCTAGTGAGACATATCACGCGTCTCCGTCTACCGAGATGAGCAAAAATGGGCAGCCCGTCTTCATCGGCGACAAAGGGGGGGTAAGCATATGTTTGACCTACTCATTCTGTCTCTCACCATCGTCTATTCGTGCAGCGTTTCTACATCAATGGCAAGGGACATCGTCAGTACGTCAACAAGGAGGACACCGTCCCTCGGACATTTTCAAATGAACCTCCGAAAAATACCCCTGCTGCAGAAAAAGCTGACACGACGGCGTTCGACAAGAAACCCGCTCCACCCCAGGTGAACAAAAATACGCAGTCAGCCAGAGGAAAAGCGATGTCCTCTGCGCTTTCTGAATGACAGGAGACATTGGAAGAAAGAGGGCACTACGATGGTAAGACCGGCAGTGTAAAGACGATCGCCGGTGCGACGTATTCGGCATCTCCATCGACCCTCAAGGCTAAGAACGGGCAGCCGATCTTCGTTGGCCCCAGAGGCGGGGTAAGTCTTCAATCGGCCTTAATGACCACACTTTAGTGACCACACTCTACTGAATGCCTGTCTTCACTGTCTATGCAGCTCTTTTACATTGATGGAAAGGGGCGTCGTCAGTACGTGGACGAAAAAGACGCCATTCCTGAGACACAGACCAGGCCTTTGAGAATGGCAGACGATGCGAAATCCGTTCCCACTGCCGATACGGTCTCCGGCAAGGGCATCGGTGAGGGCAAGCCAATCGGCGTGAATGCGAAGGGCGAGACGGTGTTCGAAGGACCGAAGGGCGGTCGCTACATAGTGGACGCCAGCAACAATCGCCACTATCGTGCCGAGGTGCAGTCCAATCAGGTGCCTTCCACCGGCAGCACCACTGGAACAGGCTCTTACACCAACACGGGCACTGTCAAGGAGGTTGGCACCAACAAAAAGGGCGAGCCTGTGTATGAGGGCCCACTCGGAGGTATATTTACAATAAGCCAGAGCAACACCCGACGCTATGGAGCCCACGTGGAGAGATATCATCCTCAGCCCATCACAAGCACAGCCAGCAGCATCCCCGCGGCCAGTGCAAGCAGCGGCTCGACGGGAGTTGGGAGCGGAACTCTGATCGGGCACACAACCCGCGGCAATCCAGTGTATATGGGGCCGCAAGGAGGCCAATACACCGTCAGCGCTGAGGGCAATCGCGGCTACAGCGCCAATGCTGCGTACACCTTGAGCAGCGAAGGAACCGGCGGAAACTCGAGTGGCGGAGGGGGAGGCTATACGAGTGGGCAGGGAGTGGGGAGCGGAACTCTGAGCGGATACACATCTGGCGGCAATGCCGTCTTCACGGGACCTCGCGGTGGCACCTATACCGTCAGTGCCTCGGGCAATCGCAGGTACGGAGCCAAGGCGGTGTGAAGGCCCGAGGGGAGGGATGCGTACCCACCAAATGTGACACGAGGGCAAGATGGGCTATAGGGCGATGGGTGTTCCTTCATGTCTCGGTGTCACCTGTGTCTCCTTATCTGTTCTGCTTGTTGGGAGAGAGGGCGTGATTGTCGGTTCGTGTGGCCCTGTTTCATCTCTTTGCCTGGTCGGGCTGTGGTAGGGAAGGATGCATGTGTCTTTGCCTATTGCGTTTGCGGGCCCGTCTGAATAACTGTTCAATGCAGCTGCGAGAGATTGATGGTGACAATGCAGAGAGGGCACAGGGCGCGATGAGATGAAAGAAGAAGGAATCAGCTGAGGGCAAGAAAGGCTGCATGTATGGCGAGGGATGTGGTGTTCATTCATGTCTTTTGTCGCTTGTGTCTCCTTAGCCGTTCTGTCTGACTGTCGGTCTTGTCACGCAGCAGTGGGTGCGAGGGATGAGAGAAGGGGAAGAATGGTGACGTGCAGGGGCTTTGATGTCTGGTCTGGTCTGGTCTGGTTGGCTGTCTGTATGAGGGAGGGAAGGACGGGTGGCTGTGCTTGTCGAGCGTGCGGCGATGTGTCTGATCAATGCAGTTTCTTGAAGGGGTGGACTGATGAGACAGACTACCATGTGTAAGCGTGCACACGCCCTTTCGCGCACTGCGTAATGGTACACAGGCACGTGCAAAGACAAAATACGTACCGAATGGCTCTTGCACCCATCATTAGCAGCACGGGAAAAATGAGTACTGTTAAATATTTATACTGGTGGTGGTTCTTGAGTCACGTACGGTGCGAACTGCATTCACTCATTCATTGAATGTCTCGCTCGCGTTACATAGTACATAACACAGACAGATCGATCCGGGTGGACAAGCTGGATGGATGGATGGATGGATAAGCTGACGGACGGTGCGTGGCCTGACTTCGCTCTTAAGAACATGTGTGTACACATGGGTGGGCGGTTGATTAAGCCATCGTCTTCCCTCCCGTAGGTCACTCCCACGCTGCGAATTCATCAGCCGACACAACCACGCGAGACATCAATCTAAAGGACTACGGAATATAAAACGTAGGCAGCGATGACCGGTGAGGCCACACTTGTCGTAGTCAGCGTCGTCCATGGTGCTGCCACGTGGGGGCCGGGCGTGCCGTCCTCTCTGCAGGGGGCTGTCGGGCGTCGGGCCCGCAGGATCTTGCGCAGGCTCTCCAGGTCGATGACCTTGAGCTCGCCAGTGGCCTCGTCCGCCACCAGCAGGTTGCCGTAGTGGTAGTCGTTGTGCGTCACGCCCAGGGCGTGCAGCCCAAGCATGCACAGCAGCACATTGACCCCCACCA